TGCTCCGAGTTCATGTTCAATTGCCCCTCCAAATGGACCTAGGGGACTGCTTTCTACCTGAGACCCCTCAACATGAGACAGGCTCAGGCAAAAACAGGACCAAACTAAGGCTTTCATGGCTTTTCCTTGATAGGAACAGGATGCAAGAATAAAGGAAAAGGAAGGACACCTGCACAGGAATTAAAGTAGGGAGGAGGGGAAGGGTGGTCTGCTACAAGACTGAATTTAGGGCCAAGCTAAGCAATTGATCAGAATGTGGGGATGACAAGGGCTAGAGCTTACGTTCCTTGCAGCAACGGGTTTCAGTCCTACTTGGATTTGTGTCCTGGTAGATTATCTTTTAATATTTAATCATGGGGTCGGCCAAATAGCTCAATGGATTAAAGCAGCTGCAAGCAGGTGCAGGGGCCGGGGGTTTGTATATTGGCTAGATTTCCTAGTCAATACTTGCATCAGATAAGTTGGTGCATCATTAAGTTTCAGTGCTGTCTTCTAGAATACTTCTTCATCTTTTTATCACTGAAGGAGGATTTTGATTTTCTTTTCTCCCTCATTGCTTTTTGCTGTGCATGTTCTTGCTTGGTACAAGTCCTTTGTAAGTTATCTTTGCTGAAAACATATTTTTTCTTTGTGTAGATTGACTTTTCATTGTATTAAGTATGTTCTTCCTATTTAAAGAAGATTTTGTTTTAATGTAGTTATTTTCATGTCATTTCTTTAGTAGTTCATCTTTAACTCATGCCTTATGTCAAAATTTGAAGGCGATGTCCCACTCCAGTAACAATGAGCTATTTAGAGACTGACTACACAAACTGCAACCAAAGTCTAGTTATTCATGGAAAAGTGCTGACAATACAATTAAACCTGAATATCCACAGTGGTTCACCAATACAGTTTTTGTACAATTCTAAAGATTTGGTTTTGGCATTTTGCATGTTTACACCCATCTTACATTTTGATCTTGTACTGAGGTAAAAATGTCTTTTTTTTCCCTTCCAGATCATAAAATGTCTTGCAGAATTTATTATGAACTCATCTTTCCCCACTTTTCCTAAAATAGAGGAATATTTATCTGCTTATTTGCTTGTACTCTTTTTCTCTATCATTTTATGAGTCCCAGACTTATTATAATTTCTATGATGAAAAGTCTCAATGTCCTAGGGGCAAATAACCCCTATCAGCCTTTTTTAATTTCCTCATCCCAGTTTTCTTGGCTAGTTTTTACTCTTCATTCTTAAGTTCTGAGTTTTAAAATTTATTCTCATCTGGGTTTGGTGGCACACGTGGGAGGCTAAGACAGAGAAGCACAGTGAATTGGAGACCACTCTGGGCTACATAGTGACTTCAAGGCCAGTCTGTGCAACATATAGAGATCCTGTCTCAAACAACAACAACAACAACAACAACAACAACAACAATAATAATAATGTTTCTCAATTTCTCTTAAGATGTATAATTTTCATTCAGACTGTATTTCATACTGAATATATGGTATCTTTACAATGTCAACTCTTCTAAGCCACATATGTGGTACTTTTCCCACTTATCTAGGTCTTATTTACTGTCTTTCAATAATTTTATCTATATTTTTATGAAACTATTTTGTATCTTTCAGTATTTTCTGGCTCCTTAAGGAGTTTTGAAAGTATTATAATGTTTTATTATGTTTCCTTGTTAGTAATTGCTGTGTGTAGAATAACAAAAGATGTCTGAAGTCTTATTTTACATTTCCTTACAATACTTTCATCCTAGAGAAATGTTAATTTTTAATCTGCCCCTTTTCCCTCTTAGAGTCATAAGAAGAAGACAAGGATAAGGAGTATCAGGAGTCTTCAGGGTCACCTTTACTCACAAAAGTAGAAGATGGGTTGATCCAGGAAAATGAAAACAGCTTAATTTGAGAAGATTGGTTCAGAGAAGAAATAAGTAATTTCACCAGGGAAGAAAGTGTTAACTTTTTCATGACACTAAAAAATAATGCCAAAATGAATCTGGATGTGATGATTTTTTAAATTTTCAATTATTTACTTAATTTAAATTGGTTTAAATTTATTTATTCCACTCTTAGTTTCAAGACAACTTACAAGCATTATATATTCAGTGCAACATATCTGTTTTTAAATTAGTAAGGTGTGAAAAGGGAAATTAAATTTAGAATTCTAAGCCATCAAGGAGAAATGTTATATATTGAAATGCAGGTCACTAATATTTGGATAATGATCAAAGCTGAGTTGTATATATGACTCTAAAGTCTCCAGTGGCCAAAGCAAATTGGTGGATTCTAGGATTTCTCTGTCATTAAGAGACAAACTATTGAGGAAATACAATTTTCAGAGTACTGAGGTCTAGGAAAACATTTCTCCAAAAGTGCTCTCATATAAACCATCAATGGCACATCAATCACAAATACAATAATGATGCCTTACAACTTTTTGTAACTCTTCATGATATCAGAAGGCATACTTTCAAGACAAAATTCGTTGAAATTGATCTGGCTGGAACATGCCTATTAACAAGCCTGAAGTATAAAAAGCACAGGCTGACTTCTTAATTTCGGAATAAAATCTTAGCTCTTTAGTAGACACTGTTAATAGAAATGCTGGTTGATATTTAAAAACAATTTGGGGTATTACAATCAACTAGAAAATACACCAGAAAAAGTCTTGCAACTTGGATGAACAAATGCTGAATACCAAAACAAATGCTTCTCTTAGGAACTGAGTTTAGCTCACAAAGCTGACAGTTTGCAGCCTCAGTAGATGTATTAAGTGACAAATTCCAGTTGAAAAGGAACCATGCATGTTGCTGTGTTAACTATTTATATCACCAGCTCTTAGTGGTATCTGGAATCCAGTAAGTGACTCATAAGGATTTGAAGAATAAATGGAGGAACAAAGCAGCCACATTAATTTCTACAGTGTGAGGTTGGGGACATAGCTCAGCAGTGGCGCAGCATCTGCATGGGAAGCATGAGTTCGAGTTTGACCCCCAAAACCCCCCCAAAACCAAAATATATTCTACAGTGTAACTTCTGCAGAGTTGTGCAGCATAGGTTGCATGTGTCAACAAGGATGTGAAACATAAAATAAATCTCTCTTTTAAGGGTTAAAAGCAGATCCATTTAAATTAAAAAGACAGTTGATAGCTCTCAAAGAAACTAGGGAACCTAATTAAGCCTTAGTATTTATCCCCAGAAGAATTGGCGACACTGTTTAAGGTTGTTGTGAAGATCAAATAGAAAATAAAATTAATGTTTTTTGTGTAACAATATACCCAATACATGTGTAAAAAATGTGTACAATTCCTTAGATACCTTCTATGCATACCCAACTCCTAGCCATTCTCACTATTTGATGGCTGTAGCACACTTCTAAAGCGTTGGGTTTCTGTTCCCTTCTCTTATGCTAAATACTCTCTAACTTTAGTTTCTTTCCCCAGGGGTATTGCAATAGCCCCTAGTTTTCTTGTTTTCTCTGTATGGTTCCTAACCTTGAGACTTTGTGCTTCACAGCATAGCAAGTAAAATGTTACATCCCTAAATTCTAGATTGAAATCCAGATTCTAATGTTGTTAGTTGTTGGATATTAAACAATGTTTCATTGTCCTAATTTAGTCACAGTAACATACCTCATATTTGGGTTGTTGTTAAGTTTTGAATGACACTGCCTACCAATTTTGCACAGGAACTGCCAGAAAAGAATTAATAAGTGTTGATTTTTCTTTCTTTTCTTTTTTTTTAATTTTTCTTGTCATAATTATTCTACCAGAATGTTTGGTCTAAAACCTAACTCTGCCTTGGCTCATCCCTAGGTAAATTTTAACTAAGACTAAAATCCTCTGGGTATGATAGAAGCCTACATACAGAATATGTAACTGTCCTTATATTATGGCTTCAACTTCCCTTCAACCATCTTGAATCCTGCCTCTTTTCCCTCTTTTTATAACCTGACCTGTCATTTCTGTTTCCAGGAACCTAGGTGCAACTATATGCTGGAATGGCTAGTGTTTGGTATATACCCTCCCCCACCCTTTTCTCTGGAATAACTTTTCTTCTTGTCCTGGCAAAAACTTTTCCCTTCTTCAGTTTTTTCTCCTCTGAAACTATCTCTGTTTCTCTCTGTAAAATTAACAACCTTCCTGTTACTACATAAAACATCTAGAAATACACTGAATTTACTTGTCTTTACGCATATCTCTCCAATTGCTTTGAAATGCTTTAGGTCAGGAGCCCTCTCTTTAAGTCAGTTTTAACTTTCAGAATGCTTAGAACAGAGTAAAAATTTATAAATGCTACTTAACAAACGAATAAACTCCTAGCCCTGAGAATCCCACCACCTAATTTGTTTTCAGCGACACTTGTCAACTTACGTCTATCACTTGATTGAAAGAGCACCAATCCCAACCTACAGTCTAACAGAGGTTGGACCCTCCCGAGTTTTCAGAGTATGGTTGCGGGGTCACTAACACAAGCAACGATGCTGACAAAGGAGAAAGAGGCTTTTCTTCCTAGAAATGAGAAGAAAAGGGACTTGCAGCGGATGGCCATAAAAAACTGATTCCGGCCCAGAGCTGCTCCCTCCCCACCCCTTCTGGGAGGGATGTAAAAAGGAGAGGGGGTGGGAGAGGAGAAGAGAGAGTTAAAAAGTTGGTCACCTTCACCCCCATCTCTGTCTCGGAAAACGTTACCTAAATCAGGTGTCCCAAATGGCCTCCCGAAGAGGACTGGGTTCCTGGCTCCTGCATTGCCTCAGTCTCCTTTCTACATCTTTAGGGCTTTCCCTTTCCATTCTCTGCTGAGCGCTCCCCTCCTAAATCTTCATTCACTGGCGACAGAGAGCCGGCTCCAGATTCCTTGGTTCTAGGACCTCTGTGACTGTCAAGGAAAGATGCAAGTCACAGGCAGCCTCAAATCACTGAAAGCAGAGGAAAAAATAAGACCCAGAGAGAAAGGAAAGAAGCAGCATTCCCCAGTGCACAGAAAAACTCCGTATTCAGAAACACGTAGAATCCTCTGGCCATAAGACAGCAGGTTGCCCCTGACTACCCAGAGGACGCGGAGCACCCCACAGAGGAACTTTAAAGGGACTGAAATCTGTTGCCTGTTCCACTAGGAATATTGTTTGCAAGGCACAAGGTGTCTTTTGGTAGTGAGCACCCTCTGCGCATGCGCAGGTCCAGTCGGGAATTACTGCCCAGCCGCTGACTAAGTTGCATTCCTTGAATCTTCGCAGAAAAGACAATTCTTTAATCAGAGTTAGTAATGTGGACAGTACAAAATCGAGAGAGTTTGGGGCTTCTCTCTTTCCCTGTGATGATTGCCATGGTCTGTTGTGCACACAGGTGAGCTTCCGTTGTTGAATCTCTCTCTCTGTCTTTTTATTCTTGGTGTTTTTCTTTTTACATGCCTGCGGGATCATGTATCTTGGTGTTTGGGGGTAGGTGTGCTTGCGTCTCTTTATGTCTGCTTGCCGTTTGTGCTCATTTTGAAAACAGTCCCTACTTCTTCCCTTCAGCGCCAATGAACCCAGCAACATGTCATACGTGAAAGAGACAGTGGACAGATTGCTCAAAGGATATGACATTCGCTTGAGGCCGGACTTTGGAGGTAATGCTTCATCTTTTTTCAACCTGTAACCCATGCCTAGTTACCTTTCCTGACAAAGATAAATGCAAAAAAAAAAAAAAATGTCATTTTCACGAATGTGCACTACGCCCTGGAGCACACACGCACGCACACGCACACACACACACACACGCACGCACGCAGCACTCGTAGGCTCAGGTGCACGAAACCCTAGGCTAAGTTGACCTCCCGGCTGGACACACCCTCTGCATAGTCACTGCATCACGCTTGTGCCCACACCTGTTTTCCGTGGCTGTCCCCGAGGGGGGTAGAGGGAGGAGGGAGCCTGTTGTGGATGTAGTAAGGGCTGGGCGCAGCCAACCCCCACCCCCAGCCACTACCACTCAAGAATATGTCTTACTGTGTCCCACCTCCCCGGCAGGGCCCCCCGTGGACGTCGGGATGCGGATCGATGTGGCCAGCATAGACATGGTCTCCGAAGTGAACATGGTGAGTGGCCTCCCTTCAGGCCCGGCGGCCCGGCTTACGCAGATGCGAAATGGACCGGTCTCCGTGTCCTCTGTGTTTCTTTGGCGGTCACCTCGCCCCTGGCCGGGGGTCCCACGCCGGCGCACACACTCGGTTGGCCCTTGGTTTGTATTTTACACACACACACACACACACACACACACACACACACACACACACACACGCCTCCGGGCTACTGCGGTGTTCCGGAGGAAGCGTGCTCCGCACTATTTTGGGAAGGACCGTGACGGTTGCGCCGGCGGATTGGCTGGGGCGGAGTCTGAGCGCCACTTTCTCCGGGTTTCCCTGCGTGCTCTGAGGCAGGGCACCATCTGCCGGCGGCCACGCGGCCTCTGCCAGCCCGGGGGTCCGCAGCCGCCCCCTCGCGGGGCGCGGAGCCCGCAGCTCCCGCAGCCCGAGCCTGGCGCCCTCCGGGAGAGCTCAGGCTGCGCCAAGCGCTCGGGTCCGCCGTGCCCTCCCCCTGCGTGTCTTGCACAGAGTGTGGCGGGAGCAACAGGCTGAGCTCGCAGTCCTGGCTCGCTAATAGAGCACGCGCCGAGCTGCGAGGGGACGCGAGTATTGCTCCCGAGCGAGAGGGCTGATGGATTGTCTCGCCTACCGTGAACCTTGCGGTGGAAGCACAGTGGGCCGAGTTCTATTGCTTTGCTTTACTCCACAAACCTAAGCGTCCCTGCAGAACTTGATTATTAACAGCCAGGGGGGAGGGCGAGGGGCAAAGAGAGCTTAGCTAAATCCTTCTCTTACAAAGGGCTCCACTTTCGCTCTTTTTTCCTCCCTCTTTGCTGAAAGTGCTGGAAAAATGGTTGGGAAACATTGCTGCCACCCTCTCTGTTGGCTGTTTCCAGGCAGTGCGGGTAGCAGATTTCTAGTTGTTAGAGTTCAGAGGGAAACGCCTGTTGCTTTTCTAGAATCCACCACTTAAAGAAGAAATGCCATTTCTATCCCACTGGTGAAAAATAATATTATGGGCTGCGGAAATGTGGACATCCTGAATAATTAAAAGATGAATCCTTTAGGATTTTATCTGTCTGTAGCTATAAGGCCTGACGAGCTGGCTTTTGTTTCATTCCCAGTGTACTATTTTATTTTAACATAAGAGGGTTTAAGGATTTCTCTTTTCATTTTTCTTCTAGATTATGACAGGAAGAAACAAGTGTTTACAGACTATTAAATAGAATAAAAAGTGTGACAATTTTATTTCTGTCTTTTATAGCTGCAGCTTAAATAACGTACTTAAAATATTGTTTCTGATATTTTGATTGTTTAAAAATACTATTTTCCAGTAATATCTCCGTTGGACTGGAAAAAGAAACAATTTTTAAAACTTAAAGCACTTTAGTGCATATTTCTGACCATCTTTAACAAATTCGATTATATTCTTTTACATCCACGATAACACAAAGCAGTTTTAAAATACTATTTACAGACACCTGGGGTCTAGAATAATAAGTACGCATATATAAATCCTTCCAACTAAGCAAAAGAAACTGGATAAATTGAGCCATGAATTGCTTAACACATTGTATTGAGCAGATGAATGATCATATTTCCCTTTTCAGTCATTTATTTTAGCAATTTGTAAGCAACTAAAAAGGGGAACAGTGCTTTGCCATTGATTTACTTTATCGATAAGATACTAGACTTTCAGAATATCTAAAATTATATAATTCGGTTGGTCAAAGAAGAAAATACATTTCAGGGGAGAGAGCACTTGCAAAATATCAACAAATTCTGAGATTCATACTTCAACACTGAAAAAAAATCTGTTGGCCATATTTTACATATACTTTTTCAGTTTTTTTTTTTTTTTTTTTTTTTTTTTTTTCCTGAACCCAAGGTCTAGCTCTTGTAAAGGAAATTCTCTAATCCTGGACTATATTCTCAGCCTCCCAGCCATTGTTTCAAAAAGTGAATTGAATAGGCAAGCTGCCTATAACCAAAGGACCACCACTACAAAAGTTCTGCATGATCAGCTGTTCAACTAAATTCATGCATAAATTCAGAAAAAGATTTAATCTAATCTTAATAGTACTGGACTTTTCTGCAAAAGATTGAATAATATAGTCTGTTTATTCTCTGGCCCATCATATATGAAGTTTTAAAAAAATGTATCTTCCTAACAGATAAACCTCTGAAAATATATTATGACACTCATCATTTTTCACATTGGTATGAGTGACACAATACAAAAATAGAAAACACTGAAATTTGGAATGTACAGATAAAACTTTAAAGTATGTTGAACTAAAACGCATGTTATCTTTTCATGAATGTTAGAGACATAATAGGGAAATACAAACTACTGGAAGTTGGGCTAAACAAAAACTTGGTTTATTTATACTTTCTTGCTCTCCTCGTAATGATAGCAACCGCCAAGTCTTAGTGGATTTATTTTAACCTGTACTTTTTACAGAAAGCATTGAAATAATTGGATTGGGAATAACTAAGAAAAGTGGAAACAAAAAGGCATTTTTAAAAAAGGATTGAGGATTCTACAGAAACATGAATGATTAGCTCTTACCCTGAAATAAAAAAATCATCTATAACGTGCCTTGAAGTTTAGGTAATGCAAGAATTGAAAGTTGGGGAAAAGAAGACTCTATTTTTAAAAATTAAGCATAGTTTGGTACATTGATAGGCAACTGAGTCTTTTTGGTTTCATAACAGGAAATTTTCACTAAAATTAAAAAATAATAATGGTTAACAATATGATCAAATAATGTTTTTAAGATAATGTAAGTTAAATTCACCAAAACATTAGTCATTTTATATTTTTATTTATCATTATTATCTACTCCATGTTTAGGCAAATAACATGATAATCATGCACTAAATTAATCGATTTGAGAATTGGTTGTTTTTTTTTTTTTACTGTGCTGCTATAAGTAAAATATAATTACAAATTATTTTTAATATTGTCTGTTTCAGAGAGTATCATCACATCAAGAATACTTTCTGATTTGTGTCCTCCATTGTATATTTTTTCAATCAGAAGAAAGAGAAAGAGTATCTATGGCTAAGAATCTCAGCAGTCTTAAGAACCATAAACATGTATTAAAAGAGCACATTACTCCGGCAACATGTACAATTTTTATTTATCATTAAAATATAATTTAAATAAAAAATAACCTTTTTAAAAAAGAACAGCTCTGAGCAGTGAATGCAAAAGCCCTAAAGCATAATTATATAAGAGCAAGTCTTTTTAGGCAATGATGTTATTGAATCAATTACAATTTTTTCTCACATCATTGGCTATGTGGTATGTGTGACAGTGACTACACACTGTTGTCATTTTCTAAATTGGACTCTTTATTGGACTCTTAATCCACTGAGGTTTTAATTTTTTGCATATTCAATCTTTGAATCATTTTAACTTTTTCCACTAACCCCCTTACCCTAAGTAAAAGTACAGACACACGGGCTAACCAGAGATAAACAGGAGCAGCCAAAGTAAAAGGACACAAGGGCTCTCAAACCCATTCTCATTCACTCTGATAAATTCAGTAGCACACAGTGGGCAAGATTTCTCTCTGAGATGTAGTTTCAGAAACCATGTTATCAACTTCATGGAAACAAATAGTTTCAATAGTGTATTTCAGGTTCCAGTCACGGGCTGTTGGGACAATACTGGTCCTCAGATAGGAAGTCCAACCATGACGTTGGCAAGTTCAGTTAGATGTTTTTTGTTTTCTTTTGTTTTGTTATGTTTTTAAATTGAGCATATGCTTGAAAGCCTATAATTTTAGGGCCTCAAGACCAGACTTGATGTTAGATTGTACAATAAAATGAAAATTAATAACATTATTTCTAATGTTTCCAAAGTTGAAATATCAAGTCATTTTTGGAAGTTCTCTTTGTGAAGAATATATTTTATATTTAAAAATTTGAATCTTTAAAAAGTTTAGTCTGTCAAATCAAGAATCTTCCTCTCTATCTCATTCCTCTGCTATATTCTCTTACAACAATTCTCCTTTGAGGAGAGTCAAACACAAAATATGGAGCAACCCCTGAGTGGAAACTCTTACAGTCTCTTGTACATAATGTAGTAATTATTTTTATACACCAGGACTACTTGGATCACTGTTTTGACTGGGCATGACAGTATCATCCAACTGTTACTTCCTTTAACATTTTTCCCAAGACAGCAACAAGAAATGTTGGATCAAAAATGGGAAGTTTTTGTTGCTAGCATGGAACACCTAGCACCTACAAGTTGAAGAAGGAAAACTTTATTTTGGCTTATGATTTCAGAAGCTTCAGTCCATGTTGGACTGGCTGACCTCAGGGCAGAAATATCATGGCAGAAGGGCACAATGCAATGAAACATTTCAGTTCTTGGTGGCCGGGAGGCAGAACACAAGGAAATAGCACCAGAGAGGAAGGGCTTCATACAGAGCCCACTATGACTCACCCTGACACATCTAGAAGATGCCTAGTTCATCCACTAGGCAGCTTCAAGTCAATCAAATTGACAGTCTATCTTAACTGTCACAGTAGTCTTCAAAGTAAGGCTTGAATGATGTGTGGTTTATGTTGCTTTGAACATTAGAGCCAAGACCAAATTGAAGTATTTCTAATGACACTATCCTTTCTCTTTAGGAATATAGGAAGATAGCTCCTCTTCTACACTGCTAATTCAAATAGTATGTTTTTAGCAGTTGCTGTAAAATAGGAAATTACTGCTTTTCATAATCTGTATATCCTACCTCTAGTAGGTGGCTAAAGAGTGAACAATAAACCCTGAGTGTTTGTCTTAGTTGAATATCATAGCACTTCTCTAAGTTTTTGATGACTTCTGTTCTGCACGTACTCCAAATACTTGGCTGCACCCTAGAAAAACACATGAACACATTTTGCATTATCAAAAACATAAAAACAGGGCTTTTAAGATAGAGCTATCTCACCTGTAGGCAAGCACCCCTGAAGGTAAGTGCAGGGACAGGAGTTCGAGCCCCAGGACC